AGCTGAGGAACGCTACCTCGTTGAGTTGCTCGAGAGGCGGCCCCACGAGCGAGCGACATGCGCCGGCGAGTCGTGCTTCTGTCGACAACACGATCGACTCTTTGACGAGACCGCTGCACACGTCTTTGATGATCGGGGGAGCAAGGGGGGCGATCGTGGAAGGGAGGGGGGGTCGGTTGAGGAGCAGCCCCCTCGCAAACGGGCGAGGCGGAACAAGACCTTTTGGGAAGGGCACCAACAGTGCTCGCATACGGTGGCGCCTCAGGGCTGGACCGCTCGGCCGCCAACGGAAGCAAGGGGGAAGGAGGCGATCCGGGGTTGGGTCGACGCGTGCACGAGCTGTTCGATGGCCTCTTTGGCGGCCGTCGGCGGTCGATGCGAGCACGGAGAGGCTTTGAGGGTTCGCACCCCTGTCATGCTTCTCACCACGGAGGCCGTCCAAGTCACGAAGCCCAAGCTCGCGCGCTTGAGCGACGCGCATGCCGTTCATGATCCGCTGGTGACTTCGCTCGATCGCCCGGTTCCTGTGAGCAAGCTGAGGGACTGCCACTTTGCGGAGCTTTCGGAGAAGGGGCTGTTGAGCGCGCCCTGCCCCTTGGGGCCCCCAGCGTGTGGCGGTTCGTGGGTCGAGCAGTGGGGCGAAGCGGAAGTGACGGCCGCCCAGTGGAGCCAGCGGGTTCGGTTGCGAGTGTACCACTGCCAGTGTCTCAACGAGGCGCACGCGATCCACTTTGATGGCGAGCACCTGGGGCTCTTCACGTGGAACCGCAGGACGATCTTCGTCCAAGAGAGCTTGCAATTGCTCTTGCGGGGCATGCAGCACGGCCACAGCTTCAAGGCCGAGCTGGCAACGCATCAAGCGGCCTTCCAACGGTCGCCGGATGCGGCCGTCTTGAGCGAGGAGACGTGGCGGAGGGCGAGCCTCGACTTCTTCAAGCTGGTCGGCCTCGGGCTTCGAGAGTGCTGCTCGTTGTGCGGGCATCATCCAAAGGTGAGAGTCAAGGCCCACTAGACTTCAATCAATTTTGGACACGAGACTCTCGTGTCTGTGCCGTCTTTGCTGTCTTGGCTCTCTTACAGACCATGGAGTTTGAATGAAGTCGTAGAACGTTGTGCGGCCGGCCATACCCTCCTCATCATATGCGATGATGTACACGATTTTGAACGTACACTTGTGCACACACGCAGGTGCTCCTGTGCGATGGGATCGTTGGGCTGGCGAGCACTGACGGCTCGCAGAAGCCTGGGGGGCTCGGCAGCTCTTCGCTTGACGCGCGACGAACGTTTTGCCACCCAAGCCGAGAGTTGAGTGGAGCACTCCTCGAGAAGAGGTCGATCTCGGGGCGCGATTATTGCGCGGCCGGCCTCCATGGAGGCGGGATAAAGCGCAAGCTTCTGTTGCAACCAGAGCTACGAGAGGCGCTCGCACGATTGTCCCAGCATCGGCCAAAGGACGAAAAGCTCGGGAAGAGGTTGTCAAGGGTGGATTTTGAGGTCCTCATTGCCGGCTTGGCTCACGGGGACACGACAATCGTGAAGCGCTTTGGCGCCGAGGAGGCCGAAGGCCCGCTCTCGGAGGACGGTAAAAGGCGCATGCTGGCCGAGCAGCAAACGATGGTGCGGGACCGCAACCTGGCCGTCTTTGAGCTGCTGACAGGCATCCAAGCCGACTTCAAAAGGCGAGGGTTGAGCTCGGACCTGTGGGAGCACTGGGTTGGCGAGTGGGTAGAGCTCCTATACTCCCTCGGCGCGCACGATTCGGATGAGGACCTGATTGGAGTTGGCGCGCTGCACGTGGTGCGAAAGCTCTTGCTGGGCAGCGAAGCCTCTCTCGAGGACCGCCGCGAGTTGGGACGAGACGCGCCCATCTTGCGGCGGCTCTTGGACTCGTACGGAGGGCTCACGTTCCCCGCCTTCTTCATGCGCACCCTCCACCACCTGTACCTGCTCGCGCTCCTTGCGAGAGGGGCAACGGGGTTTGAAGCTGAGGGGCGGCTGGGTTGGGTGCACGAGGCAATCGACCCGTTTGAACGAGCGGTCTCCCTTCTTGCGGAGGCCCGAAGGCGTCCCCTGAGCATCGAGGAGCGCCAAAGGCTGGACGAGACTCGAGGGTTGGCGAACGAGCTACTCCCAGGGGTTGAGAGGTTGGAGCCGAGCGCGGAGCAATGGGAGGG